TTAGTAGTACAATTTCACTGGTGCCAAATGTGTCATATAGGACAAAATAAATCATAAGATGAAATCTACTAAGAGAATGACCTTATACATACTATACTTCTGGGATTTGCTGTTGCAGAAACAATGTTATTGCTTTATGCTTATCTGATTTATAGATTGAATGTGCATAATTAAGAGAATCTAATATTCTAAATTATTTTTATAAAAAAGTATTGACCAAATTCAGCCCAATCAAGTTCCTGTTTTATTCTTCATTCAGAATAAATATTTTGTTCCTGAAATATGTAGAGATAAAGTAAATTTTGATTTGAATGTCTAACAACCGTAATTCCAAACTGTATTATCCATGCTTATGAGTACATTTGAAAATAACTTTATTATTAGAAGTGGCATGTTTATAGTTTATAGGGCTCTCAGTTACTGCTCAATGATCATGGCTTCCTGCCTGCCTGTCTCTATGGTCCTAGCTGTAGTGTGGTCTAAAATTTTAAGAACTATAACAAGATGGGTCCTGTCAATTTAATATACAATTTAGTTGAGACAATGACTAGTTTTCATTTGATGTGTAATATATAGTGATTTTTCCTAAAAAATAAATAATAAAACCAATAGCTAAAGAAATTATAAAGATGCAGTGTTTCTCTTGATTATCCTTTAGATTCTTCTCTCATAACAGTGAACACATCGTTTCAATAAATAGAGGTGTGTGTGTGAACATGTACACCTGTGCTAGATTAGAAAATCTTTGCAAGCTATACACCTGAAATATGACCAATATCCATAGCAAATAAAGAACTCAAAAACTAACCTTCACCCCACATCAAATAACAACAACAAATGCAAACCAACCAACCAATCAATGGACTGATAAAATGCAGAGCCAATTCTCATAATATAAAGTACAAATAGCTAATAAATACTTTTTTCTAAAATTTAACATCCTCAGTCATCAGAGAAATGAAAATTAAAGCTACATGGAGATTGCATCTCTTCCAAATCACAATGGCCATTATTAAAGAAGCAATAGGACTGGAAAGATGATCCAAAGGCTAAGGCACTGGCTACTTTTGCAGAGGACCTCTAGTCAATCTCCAGCATCCACATGGTAGCTTACAATCATCAGTAACTCCAGTTCCATGGTATCACTTGCCTTCTTCTAGCCTTGTAGGCACCAGACATATACATGATTCTCAGACAAGCATACAATTCAAACACCCACATGGATAAAAATAATTTTAAAAAAATCTTTTTAAAGAAAAATGACCAAGGAAACAAATATGCCAACTGTAGATTTTCTTCTTTCTTTTTACTCCTCCAGGTCTAATTCTCCAGTCTCATCACCAGCTCTGCAGCAGATCTTCTGCTGTGGTCTCTGCTTACTCTCTATCCCTATTCCCAAGGGACTAAACAGATCCAGGTGGAATACCCTGCTTTCCTCCCTCATGGACCTCTTCTGTCTTTGCCTGCCAGTTCAATCCCATTCTGAAGTGTCAGCTCTCTACACCCAGAAATAAATTCTACCCCCAGTGGTGACAACTCTCGGGGTCCCAGAAGAATTCCTTGCAGAGGACACACAGCACCACACTTTTCTTAAAAGAGAGGTGGGGGGGGGTCGCAACAGAAACCTAGGAGGAAAATCCCCACACAATGAAGAGAAGACCAGTTATCGTCATCGAGGATTACAATCTCCCCAAAATTGATTCCTAGACATCAGCATAAAAAGCAGTCCAGCAACAGTGCCACAGCAGGCTATGAGTATCGAGGCACAGCTGAAACACAAGACAAAGACCTTAAAATAGCCTTTGTGAATATGATAGCGGTCATTAAGGAGTAAATGAATAAATCTTTTTAAAAAAAAAACTATGAAGACTGAAAGGAAGTGAATAAAACAGTTCAAGATCTGACAGTGGAAATACAATCAACAAGGAAAACCAAAACTGAGGAAATAAAAAAAGGGAGGCAGGGACTATGAAAGGAAGCTCAGAAGCAAGCCTCACAAGCAGACACAAGGGATGGAAGAGAAGACTACAGCCATTAAGGACATTATAGAAGAAAAGGAGACCTTGATCAAAGAGAATATTAAACCTGAAATTATCCTAATACAAAACATCCAGGAAATTTGTGACACCATGAAAAGACCAAAACTAAGAATAATAAAACCAGGGAAAGGGGGGGAAGTATTAGCTCAAAGGCCCAGAAAATATTTTCAACTAAACCATAGAAGAAAATTTCCCTAACTTTAAAAAGAAGATATCTATCAATATATAAATATACAAAACACCAAATAGACTGGACCAGAAAAAAAAGTCTTCTCAGAATATGGCAATCAAAACATTAAACATTCATAACAAGAACAAGACTAAAAGATAGTAAAAGCTCTGAGGGGAAAAAGACCAAGTAACATGTAGAGGCAGACTTATTAGAATTACACATGACTTTTCAATGGAGACTCTAAAAGCCACAAGGGTTTGGAGAGATGTATTACAGACTGTAAGAGACCACAAATGTCATTCCAGACTGCAATATCCAGCAAAGCTTGCAGTAACAATAGATGGAGAATATAAACTGTTCTTTGATAAAACCAAATTTACACAATATATGGTATAAATTGCATAGTCCTATCAAATATACGTGACATTTCACCCAAACACAAAAGAATATACCTTCTTCTTAGAACCTCATGGAACTTTCTACAAAATTGACCACATTCTCAGACACTAAGAATTTCACAGCAGATATTTTTTTAAAACATTGAAACAACTCACTGTCTCCTATCTGACTACAAAAGTGGTATCAATATTTTATATCAAGAGGAACATAAACAGAAAGCTTATAAACTCATGGAAACCGAACAACTCACTACTGAATATAAAATCAGACAAGGAAGAAATTACAAACTTTCTATAACCGAATCAACTTGAAAAGAAAACATACTCCAACTTAGGGGGCACAATGAAGGAGGTTCTAACAGGCAAATTTATAGCACTAAGTACCTACTTAAACAAAAAAAAAAAAAAAGAAGAAAAGAGAGATGTTAGATTAGCAACTTAACAGCACTCCTGAATGCTTACCAAAGGAAGAAATCACACCAAAAAGAAGTAGGCAACAAGAAATTATGAAACTCAGGGCTAAAATTAATAAAACAAAACTATAGCAACAAGAAAATAATATAAAATCAATGAAAGAGTAGATTCTTTGAGAAAATCATAAGAGTGGCAAATCTTACGCAAAGTCACTAAAAAGATAGCCAGAATATCCAAACTAACAAAATTAATAATGAAATGGGGAACATAACACAAGACAACAATGAAATTCAAGGAACCATAAGTAAATACTTCAAAAACTTGTAACCCACCAAATTGTAAAAGTTAAAAATATCTTAAGACACATTTTGGGGTGACTTCTGTTACAGTCCAGCCACCACAGGTTTGTATGTTTCAGGGTAGGGGTAGGGTAGAAATGGTATGTAGGAGGAATAGAGATACGAAAAAAATACAGCAACATAGAATAGTACCAGGAGGGCAACTCAGTGAATACTGAATATTGAATTTGTCCACATTTAATTTTTATATACTTTTATACCCCAATACAAAAGGAGGGGGGAAACAAGGCAAAGGACTGCTTTAATATGACAGAAAGGACAACCAGAACAGTTATTTGTTTCAAAACTTGAGACATCAAGCCATTATTTCCTGAGTAAAGCGTTTGACATTTTGGGCAGGATAGGCAATGAACACACCCTAGACCAAGCATCCTGTAGGCAGCCGCTCCGTGTGTCAAACATCCTAACAAAATGAAGGAGCAGGAACAGTCCTGAATTCTCTGATCTATAGTCAGGGTGGGATGTATCCAACTCCATGGACCATCTTAATGTCCAAAACACTAAGTAATCACACAATAGGTCAGGGTTTCTAGAAGGTAGCCGCACCTGTTGTAAACAACTTTGAAAGAGCAAAAAGAGACTCAAACTCTCTGATCTCTAGTCAAGGTGGAACAGGCTCACTTCTGTGGGCCTTAACAGAAAGGAATGAATAACTTTCTTGAGACATACCAGGTACCAACGTTAAATCAAGATCAGATAAGCAATTTAAACACACTTATAGGCCCCAGTGAAATATAAGAATTAATTAAAAGTGACTCGTAATTCAATTTGCTACTTTGTTCAGTTTGGTTGTCTCTCCTAGTCTTTACCAAGAGCCAAACTGGACCATTGGGTTGGAGGACCAGCTTGAGAAAGTCTTGCCACTCAAGAGCATCCTCTACAGCAGAGAGTAGTTAAAATCACCTGTAACTGTTTTACTCTGTGGATGAAATGTTGTTTGGGATTTAAAGCCATGCCGAGGCTCAATTTTAATCATTTCTTTTTTTTTTACCCAAGAAACTACGATCCACCCAAGACTTTCCACATTAGCTTTCATGTGATTCCAGTAAGTCTCGTCTGTTGCCACTATGTCTTGCCCCATCTGTAAGAAGCCTGCAATTTCATCTCACCCTTCCATTAAGCTTTGTTTCTTGTCAAGTCGAAGCTAATAGGGAGAATTCCATTGCATCTGCAATTTCCGCTGGAGGTCCTCCGTTACATGGACAAGCTTCCTCTGGTCAGACAGCCTTCTGAGGGATTCCCTAAGACCCGTTATCTCTGCCCTATGTGCTTCTTAAGTCCCCACAGCCTGCTATGCCTCCACGAAGGTGGCTCACCTGAGGAGGGTTTCATGTGTGTGATCGTTACACATGTTTGATTCATCATGGCAGGTTTTACCCAGTCCAGAAGAAAGAATGCACATTTGATGAGTTTAATTTTTCTGTTTCTGCTTTTCTCCGTGTATCTTCTTACATGGAAACCCTGGGCAAGACTGTACTATCTTCAGAGTATTATAGGTATACCACAGCACATCCAGTGTGGCTAGCAGGTTCAGGCTAGCTCACCTCCACCTGGGCAACTCTCTTTGGTGATTACCCTCTCATACTGGCATCTCCATTGAAACTGAGACTGTACCTACCTTGGCCAGTCTTCACCTCCTGACCTCTCTGCAGGGAACTTGAGCCTTCTGTTTGGTAACAAAACCTCAGCTTCTCTCCATGACTCCTTTAACCCTGGAGTCACCACTGCAACTGAAGCTAGACCTTCACAAACAGCCTTTTGGCATCTCCGCTGGGACTCCAATTCCCGTTTCCACATGGTGCCAAGCTTCAGCTGCTCTCCACAGCCACTTCACACCCTCAAAACCAATACAATATGGGAGTGTCTTATACCAGTCTCTTCCTTGTCCTCTGCAAACTTTCTACTGTTTGCTGTGTTATTTTATAGTTTTAAACAACTAAAATTGTTTTTTCTCCACTTTTATTCCCGAGAACTTCTTTTTCTATGAGGAAGAACAGAGAAACAAAAAATAATGAGATTAATCAATAACTCATTTCTCCTCTATGACTATACAGCTATCTTTCAACTTCAAACTTAAACCTTTAGTTTCCTTACTAAAATGTGTCTTTATTTCTCAGTTTCCTCAAAGTACGATCTGATACCTCGGTCTCAATGCAATAAGCACAAATGTTAACAAAAATGTGCAGAGTAAAATGAGTTGTCTTGTTGTATTCTTATTCTTATTTTAATGGTGAAAATATTTTAAAAACAGAAAATACAGGTAGCAGCCCTGCAGAACTGTGACACTCATTCTAGTGGGTGGATTTCACATCTGGTTAAGTTGTTGTATTTGTGTTTGCATCTAATTAAATTTACTCAACGTACAAAGTCTTTTCTGGGGAACGAAATTTACATCTTGTTTGAGACCATTTTAAAATACTTTAAAACTACATTAGGCATGCTATAATCCGAGTTTTTTTTTTCACAAATCAAATAACAAATATATTTAATAATTATTTTTATTTTCAATTTTAAAAAAATTCTGTTGATAACTTTGAATTATAACTTTGACATTCAGTACCTTTATGCTTGTGCTGGTTTGTACTGTCTTGTTTAATGAAAATGTAGAATTTACAAGATGGAGAAAGTGGAGTGTGGCTACTTCACCAAATCTCATTCTCCATGAATATGGATATGGTAAGGCACTAAGGAAGTCTCTGCATCTATTGCTTACTCCCAATTGTTCAGGAAGATTTGTGGAAAACTATAAAGTGAATTTGATGTAAAATTAATTTATGTTGATAGAAACATGAGCTTGCCAACACAGAACCAAAAATGCAAATTAAGGGACAATTATTTATTTTCTGCAGACGTTGGTATGTCTAGCAAAAATTTCTACAAGTTTTTTTGTGCAGAGTTCTTTCCTGCTTTCCAGCTCACTGTTCAAAACCTTCTTCTGCCAATTCCTGCAAATTAATAGACTAGAGCCTGTGTTAATTATTTAAAGGAATAATGAAATACATATTCAGGATCTATTTTTACCCTTAAATAAACAATGAGAGGATCAACACTAGTCCTATAGCTCTTTTCAAAAAAAAAATCATATTCAGTATTATTCTGGGTTTATTTGTATCCAAAGAGATTCTAAAATGCTGTGGGTAGGACAAAGAATACATGAAGAATAGAAATGTTCTTTTGAAAATCTGGTATTGATTTGCTCAAATGAAATAAATCTTTTCAGCTATGCCAACTAGTGAGTAAGAAGGGAGAAGGTTAAAGGAATTGGAAGGGTGTGAACAACAAACACGGACAGCAAATGTTTAGCATTATGCGAATGTCCACTGGGTAAAATAGCAACATGTCAGATTAATTCTGGTTCTAATAAAAGGATATTTGCTGTTAGGTAACAAATAATCAATTGAATGACTTAAGAATGAGAAATCTGAAACCCTTCAACTAACTTTGAGAAATATGTAAAAGGTATTCTTGGAAACACAGTGGATTATGCAAATCAACACAAAGATTTTCACAGGCATCACTTTTCACAAAATCATTAAATTATGACTCAAAGTTGGTGAAAATGTCATTGTATCTACTTGAATATTTCATTGTAGCCAGATGCTTATAAAAGTAGACAATATGTGTTTCTGCTGACGGTGTTGAACAATCTAGGCCAGGGCTTCTCAATCTGCTTGTGCAATAACCCACTAAGTCCAAAATTAGTCCGAGAGTATCATGCAAGTCTCCTGATCATTGTCCCAAAAGCTTCTAAAAATAAAATTTTCACAAAAAAATGGATTCCTATTCATTTTTAAAATATCATGATTATCTAGATAACCAAACATTTAGGAGGATACCTACCATGACATTAAGTGCAAACTCAAAACGTTTAAGAATCAACCACCATTTTAGGGAATAAATAGAACAACTGAATTGGCAGCTTTTTCATTGTTAAAAATTCACAACACTGGAAATACACCAGCATATTAGTTTCCTTCCTCATTGCTACAACAAAAAGCCTGAAAAGAAGCCATCAAATGAAAGATGATTTTCTTCTGTTTCACACTGCAAGGAGATACATTCCCCCACCGTGAGAGGGGGACAACTGTGTCAGGTGTGGGAGCCCAGGTGGTCTCATCACATTCTCAGTCAGAAAGCAGAGGGTGAACAGAAAGTGGGGCCAGTGTATGATGTGGCATTCCTCTTCATACACTGTGAGTATCATTGGTTAATAAAGAAACTGGCTTGGCCTCACAGGGTAGAACAGGGCTAGGTGGGGAAAACTAAACTGAATGCTGGGAGAAGGAAGGCAGAGTCAGGAGAGAAGCCATGGAGACAGATGCCAAACCTTGCCGGTAGGCTACGAGCCTCGTGATGAAATATAAAATAATGGAAATGGGTTTAATTAAGTTGTAAAACCCAGCCAATAAGAATTTTGAGCTAATAGGCCAAGCAGTGATTTAATTAATACAGTTTTCTGTGTGGTTATTTCGGGAGTCTGGGCAGCCAGAAACAAACAAGCGGCCTCAAACTACAAGTGTATAAAACCTCAAAACCTGGGCCAGTGTCTGAAATTACTAGAGTCAAACCATGCTCATGCATGCTCACTCGTGCACGAGAGAGAGAGAGAGAGAGAGAGAGAGAGAGAGAGAGAGAGAGAGAGAGAGAATAAAGACAAATAATTAGACTCAGGAAAAACTCCTAACTCTGAGCTCTTTTCTTTTCTTTTTTTGAAAAAAAAAAAAGTTACATACTTTCAATATATAATGACAGAGTAAAAATTCCCATTGCTAAAAGATGAGGCCATGGCAAGCAACGATCAGATCAAAGCAAGGACTAAAACCAGCAGGGAAACACCAAATCTTTAGTTCTACGACTGGCATCTGGAGCTAATGATGGAACCATCTGGGCTCCACACATCGCATACAGTCCTGCCTCTGCAGCTCGGTCGTCTGCTGCGCAGGAAGCCCCTCCCTCATGCTGGGTCCACTTTATCCATTCAGCTTTCCTCAGCGGACATTTTCTGGTTCTGGCAACATCCTGGCGGTCTCCATTGCAACCTCTTCGTTGTCACAGCTTCACCCAGCAGTCTCTCAGGGCTGCCTCACTGGGATTCAACCACTGCCATGTACGGCCTGATCTCAACTCTCTCTGGAATGGTAGTGCAAGGCTCCACAACCCCTTCATCCGTGGATCTTTCTTGCCTGCAAAACAGTGTCGCATGGTTGCTGAGGCACATCTGTGCTGCCAGCTCAGAATGGAGCCTGGTTCTTTGGACCAGAGTTAACTAGCTTGCGAGGGCTCGTCCTGAGAAAACCCTAAACTCTTGGTTAGTGCCACGACATTCGCAGTGTAGGTCCTCCCAAATGATTTTTTTTTGTTTGTTTGTTTGTTTTTTTTCAGCACAGGGTTTCTCTGTGTAGCTTTGATACCTTTCCTGAAACTAGTTCTGGTAGACCAGGCTGGCCTCAAACTCACAGAGATCCAAAATAAATTCTTATTTTTCACACTGAAACATATGGTAGGCCAGGACTCGCCCTCAGGTCTTCTTTTATTGTTTCAGTAGAGAGTAGCAGATCTTGGTTTAATAATTGTAGCCTCTTTTTTTTTTCTTCACTATTGCCTATTTTATTTTTATTGTTCTTAAAGACTAAGTTACAAGACAGGTTTTATGTAGGGCGAGCTTTCGTACTGAGTTTGTTTCGGCTCGTTCTCCTGTTCTCAGCCCTGTTACTCCTTCATCTCTTTGCATGGTGTTCTCATTGCCCCCTGCATTTTGCGCTACCTTCCTTCCACTCTACTCCCTTACTGATGTGGGATTCTCCTCTGTATGCTATGAATATGTTTTACTACCATTGGTTAATAAAGAAGTCGCTTTGGCCTGGCAGGGGAGGATAGAGGTAGGTGGGAAAACTAAACTGAACACAGGGAGAAAGAAGGTGGAGTCAGGCAGACGCCATGAAGCTGCCGAAGGAGAAGGATGCCCAGAATCTTATCGCTACACAAGAGCCTCGTGTACATACACAGATGAATAGAAATGGATTAATTTAAGATATAATAGGTAGCTAGAAATATACTGGAACTATTGGCCAAATAGTCTTGTGATTAATATCGTTTCTGTGTGATTATTCGGGTCTGGGGGATCGGAAATCAAAAAGCATTCTTCATCTGCACCCTACAGCCTTTTTCATTTCTAGCCCCATAGTTTCTCCCTCCTATGCACACATACTTATCAATTAGAGGCTAGGATCAGAGCACACGAAAGAGAAATACGGCATTTGTATTTCTGAACCTGTGTTAAGATGCCTAAACTGGTGTTTTAGATTTCCACTTACTTTCTTGAGACACCATGAAATAAAAGTGTTTCCTGAGACAAGAAAAGGTATTATTGAGATACACACTTAGCCAGCACTGAGAGCAATTCTAATTACAATCAATGTAGTAAATGGTGTGCCATACCAGAGTTCTCAGAATTATAGCATTCATAATGATTTCAATTGGCTAGCGGATATTCTCTGAGGGCAGGGAATTTACTCTGCTGAATCTTGTGCCTTGCGTGCTTCTCAAAGATGTAAGTAGTGAAGGCTCAAGCCCCAGTATAAAACTATTGGGAAACTATAGAGACTTTAAGAGATAGAACCGAACAGAAGGTGTTCATTATTTGTCAAATACTTGTCAGAAGGAATGTGAACCCCAGCTTCTTTCTCCTTTTCTCTTTTACCATGAACTGAGTACCTTTGCACTGCCAGATATTCCCCCCAAATTCTGTGTTTCTCCTCACCATAGTCTGGAAAGAACCAAGATAACCTACCATTGTCTGAAACCTTCAAAACTTCAAGGAAAGCAAAACCAAACGTTTTCTCTGATACTTCTTACCATGATGCGAAGCTTTGGTAGTGGAGAGCAAGGAGTCATTGGTCTACGACTACACAGTTTATACAGGGAGCTGAATGGCAATCAGGGTGTGACTTCTTCCTCCCACATGACCATGCCTGACTTTAC